CTTACAAATTTTCTCGTAATTGAAATGAGTCTCTCTCTCTCTCTCTCTCTCTCTCTCTCTCTCTCTCTCTCTCTCTCTCTCTCTCTCACTTCAAATTTATTCCTTCTACAATATGTACTTGTTTAAAAAAAAACAGTCCTCACGGTGGCGCGCATGCATTTTCGATCCCCATTGTGGTTTACAGAAGCGCGGAACAATGTGAACGGCGTCCACGATAGTGTCGGTTGAAACGACGCTGCTGTGCTGATGTCCATTCGCCTTCTCCCATTTCTATTCCTTGCAACCTGTCACGTGTTCCCGTTTGCTGTAAACCTCTGTGTACCACTGCACAAAAGCGCACTCGTGTTCCACATTACCGCCGTCTGTGGGTGCATCGACGACGAAAAACATGGCCACTTATGCGAACCACGTACATTCGTTGGCTGCTCTTATTGCGACGTCGCTGTGCACTGGTCTCCCGTGGAACCGCGGCGACGCTCGTGCAGTTTGAACAAGTGTGCCCCTGTTTGTTCCGTCCTGCGTGCAAGCGATGGCGATATGTGTTCGTGTGTGTATAGCGAGATCATCAGGAGGAGGTTGACAACCATTCTCCGCGATGTACGTCGTAATCGCTGCTCAAAAATCGGTTATGAAAGGGAGCTCTTCAAGTATCTTACACGCATAACTGTCAATGCCTTCCACCTCGCATATCTGGTCCTGATCGATGTCGAACCGGCGCAGTTGAAGGATTGACGTATCGCGTAGTGCCAGGGTGTTCATCCCCGTTGCCATACAGTCCGTCACAGAAGACCTATTCTCGACGGCCCTCTTCCTCCTTTTCCTCACAAATCCGGTCTCCTCCTGCAACGCCAGCGACCGACGCATGTGGTTGACCATCTGGGTTGACGCTTTCCTTTGGTACGATGACATGTACGGTTGTTTGCAGAATCTCCTGTGGTGATGCTCCCAAACGTCTGCAGCGAATGTGTCGGCCACACCAGATCGCTCAATACTCGTTCTCATATGCATAAGATCATGCAACTTCGGAAGTTTCCAATTTGATGGTTGGTATCTTTCCAATTTCGCTTTGATGGTCGTTACGAAGTCCGTCATCAACGCGTCACATTCGTCGAGGGAAGCTCGAGTGTGTGCCGTGCGCCAAAACAACCGTACGTACATTTGCATCAGCTTAACAAAACAAGCGGTAATGCCCTTGCCTGTCGAGCGCGGGATTATATTAAAAATGAGGAAGACGCACACTGTCATCACAGACCGGTTTTGCTTCGCCTCGAAGCGTCCCTCTCGAGAAAAAAAATCGTTGCCTGTGGCCACGGGCAGCACAAGTTGGAGATATGTTCGCGTACATCTCTCACTAACGCATTGCAATCTCGCATCGAGTTCCTTCAGAATCTCTGTTTGCGGTGTGTTCGGCAACTTCTCAAAGGCTGTCGCCCTGAATGCATCCATCATGTGCAGGAATATGCCGTGTTCGATCGTGTGCATACGGTCTGGTTGCAATGCGAGGTGGTAGTCTAGCTGAGGATCATCGTCACTCGGCCCCCTGTAGAACCCCCAAAGGCCGTTCTGTTCAACATGCCTATGCATGTTCAACTCCGCCATTTGCCCTTCCGCCTCACGGCGCACGTCATCGTCGTCCGCCGTGAACACAACTGCTGCGAGTTGAGTTTCCAGCGTCTGGGATCTCCTGCTGTCCGTGAAATCGGCCACGACATCGAGGTCCGTTTTCGACACGGTGCATGTAGGGCATACACCAAACTTCACATTCGCCAACRCACATCGCTCTGGGTAGTCCTGTATATAGTTGAGGAGGAAAGGGTGGACAGTCACGTCCCCGAATCGCGTCGACGGTATCGTGATGCCGTCGTGCGATGCCTCCTTCGCAGCTTGCAAGACCATCGAAAGGGCCTTGTGGAAGATAACGGCCTTTCGCTTCCTGAATGCGGTGGACTGTAGACCCCATCCTTTATCACGGGGTCGATGATGAAGCACGGGAAGATAGGCCAGCAGAGTGGCTTCCGACGCGTAGTCGGCTAGCGACATCATAAGAGGGTATGCCGTCTGTTTCTGACGACCGTATGTGTGTGTCTTGTCGGAGTACAGTGAGAGAGGGATTACATATCGTGAATATCCATTCTCGTCGACACCTTTGTGCGCTTGAATGATTGACTGCGTGTGATAACTGAGCGCCCCGCTGCGCAAACCGGATACACTGTTGTCCTCCGACGGCGGGGACACCTCGAGGGAATGAACCGTCTCACATTTTTGCAACGCGACGTGCATTATCGATAAGAATGCAGTTCGCCAATCGCGGTGCCACAAGACGGCGTGCACTTCTCGAGGCCAGTCGTCACTACGCAGATCCAACTCCTTCCACCCAACGGCCTCTGCTAGACTACAAGCCCATGCGAAACACTCTCGAATGTTGCGGTACGCAATGTCCGTCGCGCTGAATCTCGGATCTTTGAGAAGTGACTAGAGAGCATCAACGTCCGTATGTGACATACCGACGCCGCCCCTGGCGGAGAAAATAAGCGCTGCTAGCCTGCGCGAGCTGTCAAAAGGCTCGACGGGCTGCGCTGCCGACTCTGCGTTATCACCGCCTGCCCCATTCGCGTCGTTCTCCGCCCCCTCGTTCTCGCTCTCATCACCAGCGAGATTGGTTGCGCCTATGTTGGATGGTCCCGGGTCGTGGGCAACATCATTCTCCTGCCTTTGCGCTCCCTCATCCGCCACGGCGGGGCATGCCCTCGCACGATGTGAGTTTAAAGTCCGTAAGGACATGAAAGGTCTGTCGCAGTCGTACACCCGTGGACCGCTGTCTATTTCCTGTGCACGCAGTGCATTCCAAAGACAAACAGAGCGAAGCGGACAGTGCTTCGTTAGCATTTTAGACATATGGTCGGGGCATGTGCACTACATAATGCTGACCATGTTTTCTTATGCAGTGCGAGTGTTGCACGTTGTGGAAAATGCGTCTAAGCATGTGTTTTCCACGTATCCGTCGTAATCAGTGAGATTGCCCATACGAGCCAAGCTCTGACTCACTTTCCCGGACGTGTACACTACCTTCAAGATAGAGACTTGAGATCGGGCGAGCAGAAAAA